TGTGACAGGTCACTCAGTATTATAGACTCTAGTTCCATCCAGGTTGCTGTGAAATTCATGATTTTGTTCTTTTTTATGGCTGCGTAGTATTCCATCGTGTATATGTACCACTTTCAAAACATTTATTTCTATGCTCTGTGTAGCATTCAAGGTGCCAAAACACTAATTAAACCTGGTGGTCCTTACAGCTTTTGAGTACTATGAATCATGGACTCTATCCCAGGTAGAATGAAATTCATAAAGAGAAACACAAGTTGGCATACACTTTAGTGGCTATATGAAGCTGTTATAGTCCACTGACTTTACTAATATAGACTGAATTAAATCATTAATTTAACCACTGCTCTGGGGAGGTGGCATGTTACAGTGCTAGGTAAAGGAATCCATTTTCTGATTTTAAGTTTCTAATATAGATAGTCAAAGTATATGAGAATGTGTGAAAACATATAAATTCAAAACACGGAAAGTATGAGCCAGTGATGTTATTTTTAAAAAGGTGACCCTAATATGTATAAAGTGGTTACTATTTGCAAGTCATAATATTAAATGCTTTAACAAATTGAGCTCATTGACTCTTCACTGGGACCATATGACACAGATATTTATATCCATATTTTAAACCAGGAAACTGAGACTCAGAGAAGTGAACTTGTCCAAGATCACATAGTCAATTAGGTGGCAAAACTAGGAACTCTAATTATTGAATGACATCAAATATATGCTTTACTCATTTAATGGCACCACTTTCATACCAGGGAAATCTTTATTATAGGACACACAAATAGAACATTCTGAGAAAACTCTTTAAAAGATCTTTAATATTTATTATCTTAATGTAAATAAAAAGTTAAATTAAATTAAGCACCCACCTTTAAAACATACTCTCTTTTAAGAGTACACCAAATGCATATACACTCCACTATAAGCCAGGACTTATATAAAAAACAACTTTTAAAAGAACAAAAATCATATTTCTGATCAAGTTTGCCCTTTGTACAATAAGAAAGACAATTTGATAATTTGTCTGTTGATAATTTTTAAGACAAAAAAAACATTTAAAAATAGATCTGCCTTTTATTAGCACCATGTGCTAGCAATTCTAAACAATACCAGTGATAAAATACTCCGAGTTTTAAATTAAAACAACAATCTGACCTGGAGCCAGCCATGTCCACTCGACCCCATCCTAATCCCAAACCCTTCGCCTCTGGAACTTAGACTATGATTTTTTGCTTATAAAACACACACACACACACACACACACACACACACACACATACACACACACACACACACACACACAGAATTGGATCTACATATTAGGAGCATGAAGAATAAATAACAGAAATCTGAATAAAATAACATTAAACTAGTACAAAATCTTCACTAAACCATTTTTAATTTTGTATTATATAGGGACTGAAGAGGAAGATGAAGGAGATGACCTTTTGCTTCGGTCTGTGGATGAGTTCTGGTGGTTTCCTCACATGTGGAGTCACATGCAGCCCCACCTCTTCCACAATGAGTCATCATTAGTGGAGCAGATGATTCTCAACAAGGAATTTGCACTGGTGAGTACACTTTATTGTGGCATTTTTCAGACTATGACTTGTGATCTAGTAGTGGATTTTAAAATCAATTAATTGGGGTGAATTCAGTAGAAATAGAATAGAACAGAATATCAAATTGCATCATATGTATTAAGGGTATATATTGCTTTGTGATATTGTGTTTCAGGCCTGTGTGCATCTATGTATGGGACCATGAAGTCATTTTCAGAAAGTTGTCATCTCTTGTTTGATGAGAGGATCATTTTGCATCTAAAGAGAGAAAAAAAACAATACTTTCTTCACTGTGTTCCTGGAACAATATAATTAATCTCTCAAAAATCATTCATTGCAAATATGAAGGAAGGGATGAATGAATGGAATATTTAGAGCGGTGGCTATAGACCAGTGACACTCAAACTTTGGTGTGCGTCTGTTTGACCTAAAAGACTTTCAAGACATAGGCTGCTGGGTCCCATTCCCAGAGATTCTGATTTCAGCAATCTGCAGAGACCTGAGAATTTGCATTTTCAGAATGTTCCCAGATAAAGCCTGTGATCCTGGGACTACACTTTGAGAATCACTTGCTCTAGACTAGAGGTTGGCAAACTATGGCCTATGGGCCAAATCCAGAATGTTGTTTTCTTTGATCCTCGAGCTAAGAAAGTAGTAGTAGTAGTTGCTGTTGTTGACATTTATTATTAATCCAAATCAAAGGAAAAGAGTCAAAGAAACAGTATCATTTTGACAGAAAAATTATATAAACTTCAAATTTCAAAGTCCATAAATAAAAAGTTGTATTGGAACACTGCCACACTCCTTCCTTTGTCTATTGTCTGCAGCTGCTTTCATACTGCAATGGCAGAGTTGAAGTTGCAAAAGAGACCATATGGCCCACAAAGCCTAAAATATTTTCATCTGGACCTTTACCAAAAAAGTTTGCCATCTCTGTTCTAGAACGAATTAAGCCTTGTATCTTTTTAAAGAATCTAATGAAAGACAGAAATATTTCCCTGAGATAAATGCTCAGACGTACATGTTTACATCCTCACCCAGTGGACATATAATCAAGGGAGTTTATGAAACCCCCAAAGACCCTGGGCCCTAGTTAAGAACCCTTGTCTCAAAATAAACAGCCATGATTCATTGGTACTCTGTGATTACTGATATTTTCATTTTTTAAAAGCCATCTTTGGAAGCCCAGTTATTATGCTAATGAACCACGCCTCTATCCATCTCTAAATCTCAAGACTAGTGCCAGATCTGCATACAGGATTCTTAGTAGTAAATGTAGAGAACATAAAAAGCAGTTAAGATGATGGATTCAGGGACCAAAATCCCTGTGTTTGAAAACTCACTTCCGTCTATGGCTGCTTGATCTTGAATAAATGACTTAGGTTCTCTGTGTTTCAGTTTTTTACAAATGAGCATAATAGCAACAACTGCCTAACAGGATTGCTGTGAGGATACATATAACGTGCTTAGAGCAGTGGCTGGCACACAGTAAGCATTCAATAGGTGTTAATTAACCAAGTACGACCTTTCTAAATACAGATGAGTAAGCAGTTACATCTTGTTTTTTAAAAGACAAAAAAATTGTTAAATATGAATATATAAAAGGTTGTTTTTACTTGACCTTTAGGGATTGTCTAATAAATTTTGTACTGCTTCATAGCATTATAGAATTAAGTATTTTTCTTTCCAAAAATAAACTTATGTTGAGTAAGCATACTAAATTCTCTCAGTGCAGTTAAAGTAAACCTTCCCCTTTCCACTCTACTCCACTTCCACTCTGAAACCTTGCTTTTTAGGCTTGTAGGTTATATTTCATAATGGTTGATTTCACCTGTTTGTATAATTTCTTTTTTAAAAGTCATGCTGAGAGCTCTGGGGAAGACTCAGATGTAATTGCTTTGTAATGAAATGTTGAAAGCTGTTTAGAGTCCATTCAGAGCAATTACATTTGTTTAGTCAGCATGGCTAGAAGCTAGACTTATGCCTCTAAATATATTTTGTAAAAAAAGATCTTATATTTTGCATAGTCAAAATGTTACAACTAAAATGAAGTCTGTTAAGCATACACACTGAAATAATACTGTCATTTTCCTTTTGGAGTTCAGCTCAATAAAACTCAAGAGTCTTCAAGCAGTGACATTCAGAATGCCACCTTTACTGTCAACATAACAAGACAATATGTGTGTTATCCAGAAAGCCAAGAAAGATATCTCTTTCATCTTAAATTATTATCTTTCTAGATCCAGGTGACAATTTAAAACCATCAACAATATCAACGTAGGATAGGATAGCAGAAAGCACTAAATAAGATATTGGCAGGCTGAATTTTAGTCCTGACGTCTAGTAACAAGTTCTAATAAAGTTGGCAACTTATCTAATGTCTTCATGCCTCAATTGCTTCTCTTGAAATGGTAATGACTCTCTTTTTCATTCTCTAAACTACAAAGTTTTTAGATAATTAACTTATATCAGCTCATCTGCCAAATGAAAGCACTGGACCAGATAATGCCACTGATCAATTCCAGCTTTAAAATTCTGTGATCATTTGTGGACATCAGTCCACAAATTTGGAATGAACATCTTGAAATACTCATCTAGCTGCAATTGAAGTAATTATGAAAGAGATTTTCAAACTAAATGAGCAATTTATACAGATAAAAATCAAGTGTTTAGATCTTTTTTCAAAAATTCTATTCTGACATTCCTCATTATTCCTTTGTATGACCTTAGCTGGCAGAGAGATTGTCAATCTCAGAAGAACTGTTGTTCTCATTGTATTTCCAAAAATGATTTAAACATATTCAAACATATTAATAGCTTGCTATTGATATTTCAAAAGTAGTTGAAAAACACCAAATCAATCAGAATGGTTCCGTTTGTGGAATTTCTCTGAATTCCTTCTAGGTAAAGTTGCAATTTTCTGTTGAAATATGTTTAAAAGTCATAAGAGAAACACATTGCAAGCCTGATTCTTCATCCTTTCATAAAGTCGGAAGAAGCTTTATTAATATAAAATATTGTTGTTGCTTAATCCATGCACATTTATATGTGCCGTGTGGATATATCTATGTATATAGGAGCTATGTGTATATATAAACCGAATTTCAGAGCACAAATAGATCTGAGTGTGTATGTGCATGCATGCTTAATCTAGAACATGTATGTTGTGTGTGTGCACATGTGTGTATATAGGGTGTGTCAATCTAAAGATAAGCACAGTCAACCAAGGTATGGATGGTAGTTACAAGATTCTCTTCTTGGTATGGCAATGGAGTGGAAAAAAAAATTGAGGATTATTTTTCCTTCAATAAATCACAGGTCTTTGCTGACATTCAGTTGCTTGAACATGTCAATAAATGGAAGCAAAACTTCAAAGATGGCAACAAAGGCGGAAGACAGCTAGAAACATTGGCCAACATGAAAGCACTTAATGAAAGTTACCAAAAATCATTCTGATTTAACTTGCTTCTTCTTTTCAATCACAGAAAGAAGAGTGCCTGTAGCATAAACCTGAATTATTTATTTTATTCCACAATAGACTTAGAAAAAAAAAAGAAGTAAAAAAATTGTGTTTTGTTGCTTCAAGTTTTACATACAGACTCATTAAAGTTTCCAAGCCAGTGGGGTTTTTCAGTCCACTAGCAGTTGCAGACCATAAAATACCTTGAAGGGATATGTATAAACTTTTTGTCTTCAATGCTGACTTTTTCAATGATGAGAAAAATTTTTCTTGATATTTTATTGAGAAGTTAGGTATCTTATTCATAACTAAGTGAAGATTCTTGAAATAAAGACATAGGTATTTTTGTTTTATATAAATTATATCATTTACTTATACAAACAAACCTTTTTTTCCTTTTAAAAATGTGGGGTACAATTCAGGGTTAGGTATACAATGTTCATTATTTAGGCATCCTTGTTGATGAGGTGTGCCCCTCCCACCAGCTGTCCACGAGACATAGGTTTTTTTGGGGGGGGAGGTTTGAGTTGGAGTCTCACTCCTTAGCCCAGGCTGGAGCGCAGTGGCACGCTCCCGGGCACCGCAGCCTCGACCTGCTGGGCTCCGGCGATCCTTTCGCCTCAGCCTTCCTAGTAGGTGGAACCACAGGCGCGCGCTACCATGCCTGGCTAATTTTTTAATCTATTGTAGAGATAAGGTCTCGCCAAGTTGCCCAGGCAGGTCTCCAACCCGCGACTCAGGTAATCCACTCACCTCGGCCTCCCAAAGCACGGGATTACAGGCTAAGCCACCAGGCCCGGCCAGGTTTTTAAACTCTGCTTTTAAAAAGCTACACATATTTGAAATCCATACAACTTTTTCATAATTAGAGACAATATTCATGAAGTGAAAGATGCTGACTCTTAAATTGTTCTCATAAAAACACAAATCTATTAAAGAGTAGTTATGAAAATCCTTAAGTGTTACAATAGACTGCACACTCAATCAGCTATGTAGGTGTCATATTAAAAAGAAATAAGGGTAATATGATAGCAGAATTAATGACACAATGAAATGAAAGAGAGAGAGCTTCCTTTCAATGCCTAGAATGCCTACATTTTTACTGGGTTATGTAGTATACAACCTTGTGCTGCAAACCAAATGAAAGATATCAAAAGCTGATTATTATAACTAATAGGGTATTTAAAGTTAGGGAATTTAAAGATGACAAAATTGTGAGCAAATATTTAACATAATTTTACAATGAAGCAAATAGTGTATTTTGGAGGTTCAATAAAGAAGAAAACAGTCTTTCTACTCAGAAAAATGGACACACATATGCATGAAAGACTTACATAAGAATAATTTTAGGCTGGGCATGGTGGCTCACATATGCCTGTAATCTCAGCACTTTGGAAGACCAAGGTGGGAGGATTTCTGGAACCCAGGAGTTCGAGACCAGCCTGGGCAACACAATGAGACATTCTCTCTACCAAAAAATAAAAATAGCCAGGCACGATGTACCTGCCTATAGTCTCAACTACTCTGGAGGCTGAGGCAAGAGGATCAC